CGACTTCTATATTTCCTTCCACAGAAGGATTCCATGACTGGGCTAGACGGCTTATAAACATCTACAGGCAAAAAATTTTGATATTGCCAAACTAGAACGCTCCGTTCTCAGATTTTGCTTCAGGAACCGAGCAGTACTGAGCAAATTCATCTTCCTTGATGATTCAGAAATTAAATGCTTAGTGAACAGTTTATTCTCATAAAAAAACTCTTCCAAATAATTTCATATAATGATTGTCCGTATCACTTCACTTCCCCTCTTCCTCTCTCATTCTTCTGCTCATTCACTTATAACTCTCTTTCTTTCTCTTCTCCATCTTGCAAATTAGTTAAATGACTATTCAAAACATGGCCGGTGGGAGGCTGTACTGATGATTCCCGCTCCTATCCGCATGCATTGTTCGGTCTGTGCATACAGCTAAGGGATGAAACACACAGTCTTACCACAGCATAGTAAAATGTCCTTTGGCACATGTGACACTTAAGACCAATCCTTCCATTCTACTATTTCAGATATTCTTTCTGTTCAAAATGAGTTTGCTTTTTTTTTAAATTTTTGCCAAAAATACAAAGACTTACCATTACTTTTTGCAAGTATTCCACTGCATCTTCGTATTCCGAGACAAACAGCTTCACAACATCGAAACCGCTTGTGCTGGGACTCCTGGCCGGCAGTTCTTCCAGTTTTGCTTCCACTTCATCGGGTGAACGAAATTCCGTCAAGTTCTGTGCTGTTGCTGATTGTGAAGAATGGGCAGTTTCTGTTGAAATCGACGATCCTGCTGCTGCTGAAGGTGATTCAAGCGGGCGTGTATGAGGCACCAAGGAGGCTAGTTTTAGAGGTTCTTGCGAAAGTTGCGATTCATGAGATACACCGGATCCGGACGATTGCTCCGGATGACGCTCTGAAACTACTTCTAAATTTTCCTTCCAACAGATTTTTTTTTTAAAAAACCACATCCGAATGGGTATTTTTAATAAATTTTTGCTTAAAATACTTTTTCAAAACAGCATTTCAACGTTCAGCAGCAGCTAAGTATCGGAAAGGGTAGCATTGCTGCTGGCGAGGTGAAAAGAAAGATTAGGTAAAATCAGGGCAAAAAAACGAAGGTTAGGTAAAAACAGTTAAATTCAGGGCCAAAAAAATGAAGATTAGCTACAAATAGGTAAATTCAGGGCAAAAAAAAAACGAAGATTACCTATAAATAGGTAGATTCAGGACAACCGAAACCGAAGATTAGCTATAAATAGACAAATTCAAGGTAAAAAAAAACGAAGACTAGGTACAAATAGGCAAATTCAAGACAACTTGAACTGCAGATTTGGTATAAATACTAAGATGAAGTATCGACGTTCAACACAAACGTACACACACACACACACACACACACACACACACACACACACACACACCCAAACACACGCA